CATGTGGGTATATTTTGCTTCCCAGTGCTTGAATTTAAAAGAGAGAGAGGCTTGTGTGCTATTTACTAATTTTGTTTTTCCAGTGAATTTTTTGAAATGGTGTTCAAACACCATGGAAACACATAATCTAACATACATCTTTGAATTCTACCTCACTGGTTTCTCAGAGGACACAGACATGCAGCCCATCCTCTTTGGACTGTTCCTGTCCATGTACCTGGTAACAGTGCTTGGGAACCTGATCATCATTCTAGCTGTCATCTCTGACTCTCACCTCCACACACCCATGTACTTCTTCCTCTGTAACCTGTCCTTGGCTGACATCTGTTTCACCTCCACCACGGTCCCAAAGATGATTGTGGACATCCTAACTCACAGGAGGGTCATTTCCTATGTGGGCTGCCTGACACAGATGTCTTTTGTTTCAATGTTTGGATGTATGGATGACGTGCTTCTGACTGTAATGGCCTATGACTGGTTTCTGGCCATCTGCCACCCTCTGCACTATGCAGTCATTATGAATCCTCGCCTCTGTGTCTTATTACTTTTGGTGTGTGTCTCTATTAGCTTTTTTGACTCCCAGCTGCAAAATCTAACTGTGTTGCAATTTACTTGCTTCAAGGATGTGAAAATTGCTAATTTCTTCTGCCATCCTACTCAACTCTTTAACCTTTCATGTTCTGATACCTTCATAAAAACCTTTGTCACATATTTGGTTGGTACCATGTTAGGCTTTTTTCCAGTGTTAGGGATCATTTTTTCTTACTGTAAAATTGTTTCCTCCATTCTAAAAATACGATCATCGGGTGGGAGGTACAAAGCCTTCTCTACCTGTAGTTCACACCTGTCAGTTGTTTGCTTATTTTATGGAACTGGTATTGGAATGTACCTTGGTTCATTTGTGTCATATTCTCCCTGGAAAGGCATGGTGGCCTCATTGATGTACACTGTGGTCACCCCTATGCTGAATCCCTTCATCTACAGCCTGAGGAATAGGGACATTACTAGCACCCTGAAGAGGCTCCATTGTTGAAGAGTCTAATCTCATGTTGTTTGGCATCCATTTGCAATGTTGTTTTTGAAAATGTAATGAAATTGAATATCTCTTACTCATCTGTGAACACTGTCTTATTTCTCATATGATCTTATAAGACTGATGTATTCAGTATTATTTCCTGACTAATATGAGAATCATGGCAGATTGGGGGTTGGTGGAATTTACGTTCTATTCATGCTGCCAAAAAATTTCAGTTGTGAAGATGAAAGATGGGTAACGTTTTTGGTTGTACAAAAATGATAATGCAATTAATATTACTAAACTGTGGTTAAACTGCTAAAATTACATTTAATTATGTATGTCTTACTACAATAAACAATGGAAACAAAAATTTGAGGGTTTTTCTAGACAGTGTCTGGCTATATATTTCAGGCTGGCTTTGAAGTCACAAGGGATCCCAGGATTGCCATTAGATCAAAGTGATTCCCCTGCCCACTCCTTAATGCTAAGATCACAGGTGTTCTCCACCATGCCAGGCTCAGGATATTTTGTAAAAGGCAGAAATTAACAAAGTGAAAAGTATACTTGAGATTCCTTCTGAGTAGAGGCAGAGCCCCATTCCTTTTGTGGACATTTAATTTCTCATTTTTCATCAACTTCCATGACTTGTCAGAAGTCCTGAAAATTGGGGTAACATAGTCCAACTTGGATATTTATCATCTGCATTCATTAATCAAAGGAAGTTATATAATAATACATGATTGTCTGGTTCTATTTTCTTATCTAAATTGGTTTTACTAACTTATACTCATGCTCAAAACACTCAAAGATTTCTTTTTTCCTTATCCTCAACAACGGTCTTCCATCTTTGATAACAGCCACACTAACAGATGTGTGATGCTATTTCATATAGGTTCTGATTTGCATTTTCCTGATGGATTACAATATTCGGAATTTTTCTTCACTAATGATGTTATTATAATCAATGTCTAACTGATCACTTTTTAATTTTTAAATTGTGTTATCTGTTTTTTAGCTTCTATTTATTTCTTTATCATTAGTTTAGTTTAGTGGTACAATTTAGATATACATAATGATCAAATACATCTTATGGAATTCATACCTTATATATTTTGATTTTATATATTCATACATTATATATTTTGATTTTGATTTTTTTGCATTCTTGTACTCTTCTACTCCTCTTCCACTTTTCATTTTCAGAAGATTGTTTCCACTTTATCTTCTTTTCTTGGATTTTTCATTTCTCTTTCTTCTTTTCCCTCTCCCTTTCTTTGTCCCCATTCCCATTTTAGCATTTTCTTCCTATTTTGCAATATCTTGTACATTTCAGTCCTTATTTACACTTTCAGTTTTTCACACTAGGGAAACAATATGATGTTTACAAAAGTGTGTCAGATTTATTCTCTTAAAAGTATGGTCCCTAGATGCATCCATTTACCTAAAAATGTCTAATATTTATTCTTCTTTATTGCTGAGTAGTACTCCATTTTATAAAAAACACATCTTCTTTACACGTTCATCAGTTGATTGGCATTTGGGCTATTTCCAAAATATAGCTATTACAAACTGAACTGCTATGAACTGGGTGTGCATATTTCCCTGTGATATGATGCTTTTAATTCTTTCAGGATGATAGCAAGCAGTGATATATCTTGGTAAAATGGAACTTAATCTTAGTTTTTTGGGGAATCTCCACACTGATTTCCTCAGTGGTTGGAACAGTCTACACTCCCATGAACAATGAAGGATTCCTTTTTCTCCACAGATCCTCCAACCTTTTTTATTGATTGATTTATTGATAATAGCCATTCTTTCTGGAGTGAGGTGGATTCTCAGTGTTGTTTTAGTTTCCATTTCTTGAATGACCACTGATGTTGAGCACTTTGTCATCTACTTATTTACCATTTGTACTTTTTCATCTGAGAAGTATGTATTCATTTCACAGGTCAATTTTTGGATTGGGTCTTTAAATTTGGGGGTCTGATTTTTTTCAGTTCTTTATTCTAGATAGTAGTCCTTTTACTGAGAAATGGCTGACGACATTTTTTCCCACACTGTGGTTTGTCTCTTCACTCTGTTAGTGATTGCAACAGCCAACATCATACGGAATGGACAAAAACTGAAACCTTTCACTCTATAATCAGGTACAAGACAAGAATGACCACTATCAGTATTCCTACTCATTGCAGATGACATAATACACTACATAGAAGACCCAAGAAACTCCAGAAAAATTTCTACGTTTAATAATCAAATTTGGTCCTGTAACTAGATCCAAAATCAACACTCAATAACCAATAGCCTTCCTGTACACGAACAACAAATGGACAGAGAAAGACATTTGGGAAACCACACCTTTCACAACATAAAAATGAAATACTTAGGAATAAATCTAATAAAGGAAGTTAAAGATCTACAGTACTCTAAAAAGGAGGTGGAAGAGGATATCAGAAAATGGAAAGATATCCCTTTTTCTCGGGTAGGAAGAATCAACATAGTGAAAATGGCTATACTCCCAAAAGTGTTATACAAATTCAATGGCATCACAAACAAAATACCAATACTATATCTCACAGAACTAGAAAAATATTCCCCAAATTCCTTTGGAACCAGAAGAGTCCTAGAATGACTAAAGTAGTTCTTGGCAACAAAGGAATGGCAGAGGGGATCAAAATCTCTTGTGGACAATAAATTTTTTTCTCTACTTCTTAGATTAATGTTAGAAACCCCATATAGATTGAGATAGCGTGGACCAATCTGGCTAATTATAAGCTCTGTGCCTTGAGCCTCCAAGGTCATACAATGGCACCTTGTTCCTTCACCCCTTCACCTTGATGACTCCATACCCTGTTCCAGCCCTCATGGTTGTCTGCATCAGGAAGCTCCCATTTAACTTTGTATTAATTTAAGTCCTGAGGACAGAGACTGAGGATTCATTGGGCAACAGACATAGGAGCATCTTTGTGTCTGCTGTCCATGACTATGACCAAGGAGATAAACAGCATCACCCAGTAAGGGCAGATGGACATGATTGATATGCAAGGATCCTGAAAGTATTGATTCCTCAACATGTGAACAAACATGACACTTTGGGTGGCCAGTGGGAAGTTACAAATATGAAAAATATCAGTTATAAGGAATGAAAATTCTGTGGGTTTGGTTTTATCTAGGAAAGTAGAATTATTATTTCAATTTTGTTTTCTACACATCCTGTTTCCCATTCCCAAGGATATCTCACTCAAGCCTGGAGAAAATATGTCTTTTTTAGTGATTCCTAAGCACTCCAGAATGATTAGGAAGGTGATTATAAGAATGTAGGAGAGGAGAATAGCAAGCATAACATCATAAACATGTTTTGAGGGCTCCTTATGTCTTAGGCACTGAAGTACTTATATAATACATCAACTCCTCCACCTCCCTGTATTTACAAAATTTGTTTCAATTATTTCAGAAACATCTCTCTGAGATCTTTATCTCTCATCTGTTTCTGTCTATGTTGGATGCAGCTGGGGCCATTCATTGCTCTGCTTGGTGAGCTTCCCATGCTTGCAATCATTTCACAAGTCTAAAATGGAATTATCATGTCTTGGTTTCAGTTCAAAATGTATCTCAGTTGCACTTCAGTTTATGAATTTTTCTTTCTGTTTATATTTTTCTGTGGGTTTGGAAACAATGAAAAGTTTTAATGCATTGGATAAGATCTTTATATTTATTTTTTAATACTTTTAGTTCCACTTATTTTTACTGGGATACAGGGCAGGCTTGTAATATCTCCAAGACAGGATTGTCATTAATGTTGATTTGTACTTGAAGAAATGTCCTGAAGAGTACACAGATAAGGAGTGCTCTATTTGGGGTTAATGTATATAAAATTAAAGCAAAAGAAAATGTAGCCAACATTGTTATTAGTGATAAAAATAATCTCCATAGCAATTATGTCCTTTGACCTGAAATTAAACTTCTTTTATTTCTGTTGGAAGACATTTTATTTTTGTGTATATATACATATATATGTATATATGTATATATACACAAAAATAATACATATGTATATATATATGCATATGTTTGGGGATTAATGATGTACTTTTTTTTTGATACCAGGGATTGAACTCAGGTCCTCGTGCTTGTGCAACAGGTGGCAAAAACACTGAGCTAAATCCCAGGTGCAATGTACGTTCATTTATATCTGATTCCCATGGGCTTATATGCTGATTGTCACAGAAGGTTGCATCAAAAATAAAAACCTGTATTAAACATTGAAAATACCTTTCCCTAAGTCACAATAACTGTCCTAATCAGCCTGATGTGAAAATGTTTGGTGTGTTCTTCTCTGGAAGTTTGTTCCTTTTTGAACATCCCTTAGATGTGGGACACATCAAAATAGGTGGTTTGTATTCATATCATGGGCAAATGACCCTTACAATCCATTTCATTGTATTTACATCAATATTCAAATACACAGAAGATATATTCATAGGTTTTAAAAGGCATAAATAGTAGAGAGCATGTGAATATGATTCAAGCTGAGATGTGATATAGAACTTCATATCATTCCAGGCACCATTACCATTTGAATTCAGATTACAATATTTATCAGTACACTTCCTACTTGTTTAAGGTGTAGGTATTTATTTTAAAAACAAATTCTCACAATGAATAAATAATTACCAAACTTCCTTGAGTTGCCACACATGTGGAGATGAATGTTATTCTTATTTTCCTTAAGCAGTGTGAGCACAGAGAAGAGGAGAGATTCACACACAGTCTGCCCATTATTGGAGATCAATGATACAGGATTAAATAATTTTCTCAGCACCTTCACTTGGCAAAAGCACCATTGTGCCACTGGAGGAAAATGAAAATGTTATTCCCCATATAAGAGTGAAAGTTTTTTGCATATTAGCATGAAAAGATGTCCAGTGTTCACTGTCCAGTGATGACACTGGACAGAATGCATGGATATTTTGAAGATCTTTCTGAAGAATAAATGGATGTAAGTGGCTAATTTTTATTGGAAAAGTTATGAAATTTTACCACCATTAATTTTTGGAAATCAGAAATATATCCTCCAATATCTTCTATACAACTACTTGAGTGATAGGATGAGAGGTACAAAAATTTAGAAGAGTGTCATAATAATAAACTTACAGGTTAAATGAGGTCTCTCTTTCAAATAATGCTGTGTATTTCTTAAAAGAGAGTTAAAATCATTTGCGGGTTTAACCTAATCTATTTTGGGGACAAAGGTGTTTTATTATACATTACTTACATTAATTTCAGTTAGTTTTCCAGGAAGTTTTTAAGGAAACTCCTTGTGGATTCATCAATCAACAATGACCTGGAAATACTGACAGGAAAATCTACCCATTAAATTCATGACAATAGATTTCTTTGAAGACAAGAAAGCAGAAGTAAGAACTTATGGAGAGATACCAAGTACTCAATTTTCTTAGGTAATTGTTCAGATCTCTAAATATGTTAATG